AATTAAACAAGTATTTTTGAAAAACATATGTGACAGGTCAATAGGCCTAACGAGTTTATTGTAGTAAAATTGATTTCTTGTATTAATAACTAAAAGCTTACTATTAGTTACTACAATCAGGATTTAGGAAGTCTATACTATACCTTTTCAACATACTTTAAAAAAAATGTCATATAAAAATTAAAAAAAAAATAGTTAATATTTTTCAAAAAAAAAACATTTTTCCTCAAACACATGTATTTTTGTTAAAAAAGAAAAAAAAAATATATGACAACAATAGTTACACGGGTTCTCAGAATAATCTATGGTCAAATAATAGACACTCCGAAATAGTTACACGGATTCCTTTACTAATAGTACCGTTGGAGAGAGCAACATTGGTTGGCTCGAGTGGTAAACAGTTTGATGTCCCTTAAGCAAGGTCTTGGGTTCGAGCTTTGTTGGAAGACTCACCCACCAGTGTCAGGTGTGCGATCCGAGCCAACCAACGAATTAATCGGGGCATAGCTCCGGATACCGTGGCTTGCTACCAAAAAAAAGAGTACCGTTGGAGAGATGCCCAATTATTCAATGCCAATAAGTCAAGAACACTGACTCTAATTTTCACCTCTTTATTTCATCTCGTTTTTTGTTCTTCACACTACTCACTTGATTTTATTCTCCTCACAAATTCGTTCTGATTCTCTCCCCATTTTTGGTTCCAATGGACTCAAAATCTCTCCTTTTTCCCCTGTTTTTTCTACTCTCAGGTAAAAAAAAATAAAAAAATAAAAATAAAACTATGTGTACATGTTAAAATAAACAGTTGTTAATCTTCAATTCTACCTTTACTTTTTAGTCTTTTACTGCATTTTTACATCTGTGTGATTTTGAATCAATTGCAGCCGCATTGCTCTTCCCGGCGGCGTCCGGCGGAGGCCTTTGCATCAACTACGGCCGGATCGCCAACAACCTCCCCTCACCGGAGGCAGTGGCCCGCCTCGTCGGCACTATCCACGCCGCCAAAATCCGGATCTACGATACCGAACAGCGCGTCCTCCGGGCCTTCGCCGGCACCAATGTCGAGATTACCGTCGGCCTCGGCAACGAGTACCTTGCCTCCATGGCAGATTACCCCACCGCCCTCGCCTGGGTCAAGTCCAACGTCACCTGCTACCTGCCGCAGACCAAAATCACCTCCATCGCCGTCGGCAACGAGGTCCTCACCGCCGACGGCGAAGTCCGCCCCGACGACCTCCTCGCCGCTAGCAGCACCGCGAACCCCAAGGACCTCCTCCCCGCCATGGAGAACATCCACAAAGCCCTCGACTCCCTCGGCTACGCCGGCCGCGTGTCCGTCACGACCGCGCACAATTTGGGGATTCTCAACGTCTCCTACCCGCCGTCGGCCGGGGAATTCCACCGCGAACTGAACCAGTACCTGAAGCAAATCCTCGATTTCCACTGCAAAACTGGCTCGCCGTTCATGATAAACGCCTACCCGTACTTCGCCTACAGGGACAACCCTCACCACGTTTCTCTGAACTTCGTGCTTTTCCAGGCGAACGGCACGGACGTGGTCGTGGACCCTGCAACGGGCCTGCACTACGATAACATGTTCGAGGCCCAAATCGACGCGGCCCACGCGGCGATGGAGAAGCTAGGGTACAAAAACGTGTGCCTGCAGGTGTCGGAGACGGGGTGGCCGTCCGACGGCGACGAGGCGGGGGCGACGACGGATAACGCGAAGACGTACAATACGAACCTGCTCAAGCTGATTAATAGTAAGAAGGGGACGCCGATGAGGCCAGATCTGGACCTGAACGTTTACATTTTCGCCCTTTTCAACGAGAACCTGAAGCCCGGGCCCAAATCGGAGAGGAACTTCGGGCTCTTCAAGCCCGACATGACGCCGGTGTATGAACTTTTCAATT